AAGAATCCAGAAATATGAATATAGTGTAAGGAGTCTCTGGGACAACTTCAAGAGGCCCAACATTCGTATTATCGGGGAACCAGAAGGGGAAGAAAGAGAGCAAGAAATTAAAAACCTATTCGAAAAAATAATTACAGAAAACTCCCCTACCTGGTGAAAGAAACAGACTTACAAGTTCAGGAAGCACAGAGAGTACCAAACTAGAGGAACCCAAAGAGACCTACACCAAGACACATCATAATTAAAATGCCAAAGTTTAAAGACAAAGAGAGAATCTTAAAAGCGGCAAGAGAAAAGCAGTTAGTTACCTATAAAGGAGCTCCTATAAGACTGTCAGCTGACTTCTCAACAGGAACTTTGCAGGCCAGAAGGGAGTGGCAAGAAATACTCCAAGTGATGAAAAGCAAGAACCTACAACCAAGATTACTGTACCCAGCAAAGCTATCATTTAGAACTGAAGGTCAGATAAAGAGCTTCCCAGACAAGAAAAAGCTAAAGAAGTTCATCACCACCAAACCAGTATTACAGGAAATGTTGAAGAGTCTTCTTTAAGAAGAAGCTAATGAACAAAAGAATCTGACAAACAAAACAGACCCAGAGACATTGAAGCATGCAACAGATGGTTATATCTCAGAGGGAAGAGGGAAGGTATGTGGGAAGAGATTAACCAAAGAAGTTACTGTATATGCATATGTGCATAACCCATGGACATAGACAATAATGGAGTGAAGGCCTGAGGGGGTGGGTGGAAGGTGGAGGGGAAAAATGGGGGGGGAAATGGGATACCTGTAATACTTTCAACAATAAAGATAAATAAAAAAGAGAAATATTCATATCTTCCTCAAAGGGATTTATAACCCAGAGTTTTGTCCACTTAGTGTGCTCAGCTACTAACCCAAGACTTCTGGGTTGTATGTAGCCTTCTCTATCAGGTCCACGTGTGACTATGTTCCAGCAATGTGTGGCTAAAAGAGAAATTATTGATGCCCAGTATTCAATGATGAAGAAGAAATAGGGTAAGTACTATGTAAGCTTCCACTCAAAGGAAGGAAGACTTGGAAAAAACCTTCAGTAGTCACTGCTCCATAGCACATAGGTTATAGAGAACTGTTCTTGACTACTTCCATCATGCAATGCACTGACACCGCATTGGTCTCTGCAGCTCTCCTGTCTTGCTTTCTGATTCCTGTTGTAGATGTTTTATCTTAAGGATAGGGGAGAAGGGGTTCCTCTTTATACAAAAGACTCCAATAGATTGCTGGGAAGGTAGGAAAATATATTTAGCTAGGAATGAAAATCTAGTAAAATGCTAAAAGTTTCTATTGAGGACAAAGGAGCATAGTACAAATGTGCCTCTATATGTATAGTCACTTGTAATTTTCAGGTATTTGTCTCTATTTATATATGTGCATGTGTCTTTAAGCATATAAGCTATTAGATATTTTTTGCATGTGTTTGTTTTAAAATACAACCTATAACCCCAGCCCACCACAGGCCTCTTAATTTTATACTTTGTAAACAGAGGACTTGTTGGTACACAGTGACAGAAGGCCAGTGTGCCTGAGCATGGTGGAGGGGAGTGTACAGGGTCCAAAGTAGGGTAGGCTTTATCTTGAGTACACGTGAAGCCATTAATTGGTTTTAAGCAGGCAAATGACAGGATCAGATTTTTGTTTATAAGGATTGGCTGCTCTGTGGGAAATGGATTGGGATTGGAGGGGCCGAGAACAGAAGTATCAGAGGTCAGTGTGGAGATTTTTATCTTGGGAGTGGCGGGATATAATGGGCCCAGTTAACAGCAGTGAAGTTGGAGAAGAAAATGAGATATTTTGGAGGTTGAGCAGAAAGACTTGGGGAGGACCAGGTTAGAGGAGAGAAGACAGAATTCCATTTTGGAGAAGTTAATTTTAAGATACTTAAGCAAGTCAAGGCTAGAGGGATAAATCAAGGAACCATCAACAAAAAGATTTTTTTAAACTATAGAAATGGGTGCTGTTAACCTACGGAAACAAAAGAGAGGCTGTTGCACGGTATTTTTCTTTGTATCCATGCCTCTACTTAGTGAAATCTTACAACTTCAAGATATGGCTCAAATTTCATTGCTTTTGACACCCTAGGATAAGTTCGTGTTGTTAGCTCCCACCTTTGTTTATATAGTGCGTTTGTGTTCTATCACTTTTGGTATTGTTTGTTTATGTGCCTGTCACCCCTCCCCTCTTTGTCTCCTTCCAAGGACCAGATCCGTTTTCAGAATTCAGTACCTTGCCTGAACATCGTAGGCCTCTAATTAGTGCTTTGTTAAATAAATATTTGAGATGATACAAATCCCAAATGCAAACTATTGTAACAGGTATTTATCTCTTAAAATCAGATAGTTTTCTAGGAAGTTATGTGCTAATGATCATGTAACTGAAATTTTCAGGTATCAGTGATCTTTTAGTATAATCTTTGTTATTAGTAATATTTTCATTTGCGTACTATTTTATATTTAATTATTTTATAATATACTTACTTGATCTGTATATAACCTGATTTGAATGGGGCAAGTATTGTTACCTTTTTTTATATATAAAGAACTGAAGGCCTGGCTGGGCGTGGCTCAGCGGTTGAGCGTCGACCCAGGATCCAGGCGATTGGGGTTCGATTCCCGGTCAGGGCACATGCCTGGGCTGCGGGCTCGATCCCCAGTCAGGAGCATGCAGGAGGCAGCCGATCAATGACTCTCTCATCATTGATGTTTCTATTTCTCTCTCTCTCTCTCTCCCTCCCTCCCAAGAGGCCCCAAAGACAGTGTACCCGGTGGTCAGACTTGACCACACTGGATTACAACCCTACCACATCCACAAGTTACATACTCAAGGGGTGCAATGAAATCAATAAAGATATATATTTTTAAAAAACACAAAAAAACTGAGGTTCAGAGAATAACTTATCTGTGGACATAATTGGGACTTGAACCTTTGACTTTTTACTATTTCAGCGTTGTTTATACCACACTATTCTACTTTTTCTATGTCATTGGGTTTTTGGAAAATTAATAGCATTCGATATATTATTTGCTGTTTGTTCTCCGTAGTTAAATTGGTGCTTCCTTCTGTTACTGTAATAGGATTTTAAAGCTAGTTAAGAGGCCTCTGGTGCCCTCTAGTCCTATGGTCTTATTGAGTAACCAAGGCCCAGAGAAGTGATGTGGCCTATCCACAATCACCCAGCCGACTAAATTGTGGTAGAACCATAGTAGACCAGAATCCAGGCCTCCTTATTTCCAGCTCCGTGAATTTCTTCCCTTCCTGCTCCTTTTGCTTCTGGCTTAATTTTATAGTTGATGTTCTTAACGCAAATGAAGTCTTTAAGTTTTGTAGTAATTTAGAGGATTAAGTGAAGATTATTAAAATTCAAGGTATGGAATCACTAAAACGTACTTAGCACATTCTTTTTCTGTCATCAGTGTGAATGAATATATGTGCTATTTTCTTCTTTTCAATAGCTCATCTTGCCCTGGCCGGTTTGGCCCAGTGGTTAGTGTCAGCCCTCAGACTGAAAGGTCCTGGGTTCAATTCCAGCGAAGGGCACATACCTCCATTGCAGGCTCAATTCCTGGGCCTGGTCAGGGTGTGTGCGGGAGACCACCAGTCATGTGTCTCTCTCACATCGCTGTTTCTCCC